CTATGCTCTATGTTTTAGCGATTCCATGGAGTGACTTAGGCTAAAAAACCCAGGTTGTTTGTGTGTGTGTTCCTTTATATATGGGATCAGATTTCTTACATTTTTCAGCCGATAAAACAAACATCCATTTTTTTTTGGCAGGTAGTATTTCTTATTGTCTTGCACACTTTTTTCTTTATTTACATTCAGAATGCTTTAAAAATTCCATTTACAAGACAATTGTTTATAATAAAATTTTATTCACCAATCGATAGACTCATAATGATTGTAAACAATGTTTTTGTTTGAGTTTGGGTTTGACCAATTCAAAAAAAAAAAAAAAAAAAAAAAAAGACCCGTTAAGACATGCGAAATAATCTTTGTCAATTTTATTTTTCAGTCTTTATGATGGTCGATATTTGATCTATCTCTTACTGTTACATCCCTGGCAACGCTGGGCTCTACTGCTAGTATATATATATATAAAAATGTATATTTAATTATATATATATATATATATATATATATATATATAATGTAAATATTTATGTTATATATACATAAAATGTAAAATTTATATGATATATATATATAATTGTAGTATTTATATTATATATACATAAAGATGTAGTATTTATATGATGTATATATATATATATAATGTAACTGATAAAATTATTTATATTTATTATATGATAATATGTTGTCCTTATTTAAATATATTTATATATATATATATATATATATGTAACTATTTATTTATATATAATAAAATGTAGTATTTACATGATATATATATATATATATATATATATATATATATATATATTATGAAATTCACAAAGTCTTAGTGTCATTATCTTAATACATTTTTGTGTTTATACATTGTTTTTTATAGATACAAATATTTAAATAAATGCTCTGTTTTATAATAAACAATATTTAATAACATTTACCTACCTGAATGTCCAAGAAATTTTCGTAGAAAATATTCGTCCTCTGACAGGAATCAAACCTGTACCCTATACAGAACCATCATTTAGCTTGACGTGCTCTTAACCGATTGAGCCACAGAGGATCATTTGATTAGCAAGGCAGAATTTACTGTCTTTAAACTTCAATCTTCCTTGAACCTCTCACATACATTCATATCTGCTCAAAGCGTCTCCAAACTTAAACAAATGATATCACACTTTATGAAATGGACAAAATCCGACAATTATTTTAAGACATTTTTATGTTTATACATTCTTTTTATAGATACAAATCACATTTGGATAAATATATATATATAGCTTTATATTATATATATATATATATATATATATATATATATATATGATGTAAATATTGTATTATATACCTAAAAGAAATATTTTTAAAATATAAAACGCCTTGCACTCAAACCTTGAAATGCCAAAAAGTGAAAGTATACTTGCCTTAGAGTGGTTGTGTTCACTGTTTTAAAATGACCTTAAATATACATAGATAAATATATAAAACTGATAATCTATCGCCATTTATGAATTACACTATAGTTGTATGACTACTTCAAAACATCTTAACAAAATATTGTCTGTTTTAATGGATATGATTTGAAGACTTGGCTTGGATATTTAATCCAGATAATTAACATAAAACTGGCTTACATACTGAAAAGTTCAGTTTTATGTTTGTACTAAGCTTATAGAATTTTGTTATTAGCATTTCCAGTAGTTTCTGTACTGTTGATGAGGAGTAAACTATCAGATATCTTATCCTGATTATAGCTAATCACTAGTTTCTGTGTGCTTGAAATAATAATTTTTCTTTGATCATTTCTCATCTAAATGTTGCCCTAGATTTGTAAATAGGATGGACCAATGGACATACCATTTGGCTGTCTGCCTGGCCTACTGAATACTTACATTCTGCCTTCATTAGAGAAATTTCTCAACAGAAAACTCAGTTGCAACCTTTTTTTACCAAGAATAACTAACATCATTTGAAATAATTCACCTGTGAGCAAACACTATATCAAAAAATGGTTTTAGAAATACTCAAAGTAAAATGTTATTTAGCAGATGTACATATGACAGGCATTTATGTGATGAGAAGATAATTTAATCTTTATTTCAATTAATATATATATGTGTGTATGGTACATATAAATTCATATATCACCATCATTAGCTATTACTGGACAAAAGCTTTTCCTAATTCCTTTCATGACAAAAGTGACTATGCTAGTTTATGCCATGTCTTACCAGTAAACCCCTCCATCTTATCTTACAACCTGATCTTTATTTACTATCAATTGAATACCAATCACCCAACCTTTTACTCCATCTGTTATCCTTTCTTCTTCCTATATATCCCACCACTATCATTTTTGTTGCTTTATTATTTCTATGAACTCTTTGTTTATTTTTGATTCATGTTAACCTTTTCTAACTTTACACATACCATTGACATTTGTCCACTCTTAATTTTTTTCAAGTGAGTTTGTTAATTTCCATATTTTACACTCATCTTTCAAAGCATTATATATTCATTGTACAATTTAAATTTTATGCATATAGGCAAGTTACTTTTCATTATACTTTTAATTTTATTAAATTTTATTATTTATATTTAGCCAATCATTGGTTAATTGTAACCAATGCATTGTTTTATTTCATTTTCACAGTTGTTTTTTAATCTATTCACCTGTTCTAAGTAGATATATTTCTGGACTTTTCTCCAATTCTTCATCCTCTTCATTTTTATGACCTTTTTCAGAATGTTACACTTTTTTGTTTCATTCTTGTTCATTTCTAAACATACATTGAGACTTTAACTTTGGGCCATAAACCATTTCTTGTAATTTATTCAGTGATTCTGTTATTATTGTTAAAATGTAATTTTGGCAAAACTGTATATCCTTAACTCACTCGTTTTCCAATATTTATTTTATTAGTGACATTGTGTAGTTAAATTGTTGCATTGATTTTTTTAATATATTTTCAATCTTTTATAAAACTTTCATTAATACCTTGCTCTTTTAGTGAGCTAAAGACTGCTGTGAGTTTTACTGATTCAAATGCTTTTTCATTGTTAAACAACATGCTTTGTTATATTATAGTTTTTTTTTTTAATTTATTCATTGGTCTATTACTTGTATAGCATTTATTGGTCTATTGTTTGTATAACATAAATCTGAATGATGTCTTTATGGGATTCAGGTAGGAATTTGAACAAGAGAAAATGGTCTGTATTGCACCTGATTGTTGGAATGAGAGCTCAAAGGAGAAATTCATTTTGAAAATGGCTCTATTGAATACAGGAATCTTGGTATACTGCTGTGCATAAACAAAAAAAATGATTCAAAAACTAAACCAAGTAGATATAATTTATTCCCTCCCAATATATACTAGGACAGCTGTTGTCAAAATTGGTATATATTAGTGATTGTAATATTGGGGGGAAAAAAATCACATTTTTAGCATATTATGCTGGTTTTATTTTGAAAATGGTAAAAATATCACTGAAATGTAAAAAAAAAATAAAATGTTTGTAAATTTTATCGAGAATGATTGAATGTGTCGAAAGTAGTTTGCAAAGTTTCCAGCTGGAGATTATTCATTAAAAGATGTTCTTTGGTTGGGTAAACCAATTGAGGCTGAATACTTGCGAATGATCAACATTATATAATGTGGAATATGATCCATGTTCTCAAAATATTGGAATCAAATATTAAAAAATCATTTGTATCAGATTGGTTATTATGTTATTTGATTTAATATGTGGTTTCTGTGTAAGTAAAAAACATCCTATTGAACCACATTTCCATATCTCATTCATGATCTAGGTGTGCCAAAATTCTCATTTTTTTTTTAAAATAAACTCTGCTAGACAGTGAAAAGGGAATGCTTAACAACAGCTTGGGATGTAGCTGAACAATTGATTCAAACAAATTCTACTCCCAATTAGACCAATTGAAGTTGATAAAAAACATCTAGAATTAGTTAAAAAACAGGGTATAATATTCCATTATAATAACATGTTTATTTATTGACCAAAATTTTTTCAGGCTGGAATATTTTGACTTGGTTGCCATATTCTGCAGATATTGTGACTTCAGATTACAATTTATTCCAGTCTTGAAAAAAGGCACATTTGAGCAGTTGTTTCTGAGGTTGTTGGTTGATTGATTGAGTTTATTTTATGGTTTATCAACCTTTTGTCATCTATTTAAAGCCAAAACATATTTTTGATAATAGGAGGTTTCTTACAGTACTAGTGTTCCCTTCTGACTTCTTAATTCCTGTTCTTTTATTGTTATCTCTATGTTTTTCTTTTTTTTCATATTCTTTCACACTCAGTAACCCATTGTGCCTTTGTGGCTTTATTGCCTTGCTTAATGGCTAAAAAAGATTTATACAGAATACACTTATATATATGTAAGTATAATATGACATGGGTGCTGAAAAGTTCTTGGCTTGATCATAAAACCACTTACAAAAAACAATTTGATTTTTGTTCAGATTTTACGAAGTGGGTCATGCTAAGAACTTTTTTTGATCTCCTCATATTTAGTATACTTACATATAAGTATAGTTTGTCTTACTTTCCTTTAGGAAAAAAAACAGAAAGGCATGATCTGTATTTCTCACAAAAGTTGTTGTTTTAATGATGTTTAGTATCCAGAAGTCAAAATAAAATATCAACTAGTTGTACATATGCATCTTCATGAAAGTAACATAAGAGGCTGTAAACAGAAACCTTCTCAAATCTCTTTCTGCTACATATTAAAGAATGGTATATGAAGCAGAACAGAAGAGTATTTAATTTCTGTAAAAAAATTCTTTATACCAAAAGGTTGTCTTAAATTGTTCTAGTGAATTTGAATGACTATTGAATAATTGTTTTCTTTTGATTTGATAAATATATCCACCATTCTCTACTTACAAGACTTGTTTGGTATGTAGTTAGTTATCAAAACATATATACAGTTACAGATGTTAACTTTGTCATTTGTATATTTGTGTTATTTTTTACAGATATTGCTGCTTCTGCTTATGGCCGAGATTTTCTTGTTACTAATCCTTGTGGCTGTAAAGTCATTGATACATTCTTGACTATACTAAATGAAGCTCCAAGCAAAAAGAGTACAAAACTGAAAAAGTATGTATTTCTTGATTTTTACATTATTTTAAGCTTATATCCATATATTTATTTATTTATTATATATATATATATATATATATATATATATATATATATATATATATATATATATATTTAATTATCGCCATAAAGTTCCCTCTCTCTGTCTTTTCTATAAATACTTTCATGGTAATTGTTGGGATGAGCTTTTCACTGCTGTACGTAGACATTATGAATTTAAGTACAGTACTAGACTGTCAATGAGGTCTCATCAATTTGCAGTTGGCCATAAATTCTATGTTAACAGTTTCTTTTCTCACACTTCTTGCTTGTGGAATTCCCTTCTGGCTCCAAAAATTTAAATGCAATGTCAATCACTATCTACTGTCCTCCTGATTAATCTTTTCTCTTTCTGCTCATTATCAATGTTTCTGTTCCTAATTCTTCCATACACAGTAACACCTTGTGTCTTAGTGGCTTTAATGCCTTGCATGGCGTGAACCGATTAACAAAAAATAAAAAAATATAATTCTCTGTACTTGCCCTCTCTCTGTCTTTAGAATTATTAGTAATGAAAGAAGAACTCCAGTAAAATAGAACAAAATCCGAAAAACCATACCAAATCCCATTTAGAAACTGCAAAGTCTTACTTACATATAACAGTATTTGTATTGCTTATATAAAGTATAATTTTATATTTTTTTCAGTTTGATTCTAATGTCCTTATATAACCTGTCCATCAATCAGAAAGGAATGAAATATATTAGCAACAAACCAAATTTTTTCCAGTTGCTTGTTTGGTTATTGAAAGGTAAGGGAATGAAAATGTTTTCTTTTCAGATCTTAGATTTACTTAAATTTAGAAAGAAAAAGAGGTGGCTTATTTTAATTTAATTAAGATTAGATTAAAATCAAACATTCTTTTTCTTTGTTCATCTTAGATATTTAATTTTTCTTTGTTCAAATTTGTTTTCTCCATTTCAATAGATGCTTAAATGGAAACAGAATATTGCAAAAGATATGAATAACAATAAAATATGTTATAGGAAAGTTTCAATGATTCTAGCTTGTTCACTGCTGCATTGTTATATAGCTTTGTTGCCTGGCTGTGTTGGCCCATTTTGGAAAAAAATAGGAAATTCTCATTTATTGGAAATAACTGCAGTACAGATTAAACTAAACAACACCTCCAACACACAGTTTAACAAAAATGTCGCAAACATAATAATAGAATATAATAGTATTTTTGATTAGACAAATATCTATAGTAGATTTTTTGACTACAGATGTACAGAACTTCTTTCAATATATTTATGTCATGTATTATACTCTGCTGTATGTTTAAGCTGATTTGGAAATAGCACAAATGCTAGAGACCAACATTTCACAGTGTCTTGAAATATGTTATATATATATATAACATATTTATTTCTTCTTTTCTCATCAGTAATTTTATAGTTTTAAACTTAATAGCAATTAAATTTGGATTTTAAAATTGGCAGTTTTTAATTTTAATATCAAATTTTATCATATAATTTAATAATTATTGGTTAGAATAAATTCTTTTTTAATATTACCCGTATTTTAAAGATCTGAATAGCTATTATAACATGACTTCGTTGTCAATCTTTTTGGATTTTCCTATACTTGTATTTTGATTGGTCATTCTAGCTTTTGTAACAACGTTTTCCCCTTGTGAAGGATCTTTAATTAATTTGAAACTTTTAAAACGATTTATTTTACATTCAACATCATCACTTGATAAGACACGGGGGGTGCTGAAACAAAATGGCTATTTTTGTAGTGATTTTATAGCATATTTATGTTATAAACTTTTTTTTAAATAAATAATTATATATATATATATATTTGCAACAGATAATGTTAGTTTTTTGAAGATTTATAAATGTTTTTGAAAACACACACACACGACACAATATTGGGAACAGGCAATGTAAGTTTCCTAAAGCTGTATATATGTCCACAACAGTGAAAAAACTAGTTTAGAATGTGTTTCTACAAAAATAAAATATCTAAATACTATTGTAATTATTTACACTAGCAGAACTGATGGATTTACTAATAAATTTTTAAATGAATGCACCCTGTACTTTTTAAGCTATGACCTTTCCCAGATAGCTATAGGAAAAGTGATATAGTCTTGTTTAAAAATGCTGAAATGTCCTCAACAGATCATTTGATCATGAAACATGAATTAATCTCTCACTACAAACAACTGCCTTTTATCTTAGATGACACTTCTCCAATTCTTCTCTATGTCACATTCACTTTTTGTCTCTCTATGTTCCTCTCTCACTTTCTGTTTTACTCTCTATGTCCCTCTCTTTCTCTCTTGGATACTCAATGCAGTCTGGGTTTGATAGGATTTTTGATTATTAGAACATCTATTTTTATTATATTACAAAATCTTATTATAATTGTGCTTGTTCCTTCCTTAGTTACTTAGTTCATCCATCTGTTACACTCTTCAGTACTGATCTGTATTTGACATCTCACTGGTGGTGAATTTCAAAGAAACACCCTCACCCATTCCATCTCATTCTTGCTGTCAATAAATCCCAGCAATTTTCAAAGAAACACCCTCACTCTTATCTATTCCAAAGCAGTTAAAAGAACGTCAATGACAGTCCATTTTTATAAATTTTTTTCTTTATGTTTTGTATATATATATTATCTTGTATTTCTTTTGAGCATGTACCTCCACATTTTTTGCTGTGAAACAGCAGAGCATGATGCAAAAGGCCTCAAACTTAATAAAAAAAAAACTTTTATCAACAGAATGTTTATTATTAAGAGAAAAGATCAAAGTATTTTTTGATTATTTTATTAAATTTTTAATACTTTCTAGCACATTTGAAATTTTAGTAAAAAAAATTTTTTAAGTCAGAAACCTGGGTTATATTTATGTTAGTGGTTTTGTGCCTATTTTTCAGGTGAAAAACATTGATTTAGAAATACTTGCAAAAATCAAATAATTGTCTGATTTTAATGAAACTATTAGGATGTATTCAGAAATGAAGGAAATTATTTTTGTGTTCTTTGTTATTCAGAAAATTGTAGTAAACATTTTTGTTATATATGTTACAATCCAGTTACTTAGTTTTATGAAATTTCAAAAAATTAAACTGGTCTCAGAAAATTTTTTATGGTGGCCTCTAAATGACATTATCGTTAAAAGGTCACATGTTTTAAGGATTGTCTTCCTCTTACTGGGAAAATCCATTTAACTTTTTGGGACTGCAATTCTTTCATTTCATTTCTGTGTTTCATCGTGTATCAACAGGCTTTGAAAATTTGTTCATCAGTGAAAAGCATTAAATATATCTTCAAGTATGTGTACAAGGGACATAACTGTGGCAGATCCTGAGCAGAATTAAGCTCATGATAAAATTACTAATTATCTTGCTTGCCAATATGTTTCTCCTCTGGAAGCTATGTGGACACTCAGTAAGCTGCTCAGGCACAGAGGGACCGTGACACTACCCTCACAACATGGTTTTGAACTGAATGAGCATGATGATGATGATGCAAGGAACCACTTTTACCCTGCCTTTCTGATTCATTATGTGTTTAATAAGTACACTAGAACATGGACACCAAGGCAAAGGAATACTAATATCATCAGTAGAATGTATACAGTGAACCCTAGAGACACAGAAAAATTTCACTTGTGAATGTTACTGCTGCATGTTTCAGGTGCTGTGAGCTTCCAGGATTTGCACACTGTGGAAGGAGAAATCTTGCCAACATTTAAAGCAGCAGCATGCTTGAGATATGGTCTCATCTCAAACTATGATGACACACTGGAACCTGCATTGCTAGAAACTGCTGCCTGTTGGATGCACTTACTGTTACGTGTTTGCTACCTTGCAAATGCTCTTCAACTTTGGACCACTCGACAAGGAATCCATGATTGAAGATTTCTTGCACCAAGATTTTAATGCAGACCATGCAGAGAACATGGTACTGCACTCAATTGATGCAATTCTGATAATGGTTAATTGTTTTGCAATTGGGCTCCCCTGAACCTATTGTAGTACTGCAACTTGACCATCATGAAGACCTCGATCATCCAGGCATTTCAACACTTACAGTCTTACAGAGACTGATTGCTAATGTTGTGCTTGTTATCTGTAGATATGAAGAGAAGAGGTGAGGTGCCAAACCACTCCTGTTTCTATGTAGATGCACCAGGAGGTTGTGGCAAAACTTATATGTTTAATACCTTAATTTCTTATCGGCAAAGGAACAACTGCAACGTGTGCAGTGATGCTTGGACAGGCATTGCCTCTACACTACTGTCAGGTGGAAAGACTATACATATTTTGTTCAAATTGCCTGTCCCACTCATGGAGGCCAGTAATTGTAATGTACCAGCCACTTCAGACCATGCAAATTATTTACAAAACTTTGATCATCTTGGATGAGGCTTCTATGATCCCTTCATTTGCTCTTCATGTTATTGATAAAACCTTGTGAGATATCACTGGCATTGCAGCTGGTTTTGATGGTAAAGCTGTGCTCTTGCGGGTAGATTTTAGGCAAATCTTACCAATATTGCCAAGAGGAACTTGAGGCAATCATTGAAATCTGAATTAAAAATTCTACATTGTGGCTGATTTTCATCCAATACAGATTAAGCCAAAACATCAGGACAACAGCAGATCAAAGAGAATTTTCATTATGGCTCTTGCCTCTTGGCAATGGAACATCAGCAGCTTCACAAGATCCTAATCTTGCTGATGATGACATCAAATTTCATGCATTGATGGTTCTGTGGTGGATGATATCGTCAACAATCCATCTGAGAAAGAGAGAAGGAGCAGAGTCATTCTTTCACCAAAGAACTCAAACTGCCTCCTGATCAATGAAGAAGTTTTGAGACAACTTCCAGGTGACTGCTGCACCTAATATAGTAGAGACATGTGATCCTGCTGAGGCTGAGTGCTACCCACTTGAATTTCTAAACTTTTTTATACCATCAGGAATGCCTCCCCATAAACTGAGTTTAAAACCCGGCACAATAATAATGCTTCTTTGTAACATTTCTATCCAGAATGGACTCTGCAATGGTACAAGGCTAAAAGTGGTGGCCATGCATCAACATGCAATTGAGGCTTCCTTGATTAGCATCTCACTAATTGGCAGATTTTTCATCATCCCCAGAATAAAGCTGGCCCAAAGAGATATTCACCTTGGAGATAACCCAGTTTCCTGTCCGTTTGTCATATGCCATATCTATTAACAAGGTACAGGGGCTGACATTTGAGAAGGTGGTATTGTTCTTACCTCAGCCAGAGTTCAGTCATGGGCAATTGTATGTGGCATACTCTAGAGCTCACAAACTCTCAGATGTAAAGGTTAAGGTGATGAAGAAGAGGGCAAACTGTTGCTAAGAACATTGTCTGTCGAGAGGTACTGACTTGAAGGAGTGGAGTGTTTACAGAAATCCTGGAGACACTTGATTACATTAGGTATGTGTCCTTGGTTTATATGCATGCATACATATATATTAAATGAATATCTTTCAAAAGAGGAAACTGCATGTAGCATGTATTATATAGTTTTGTACCTATATAGGTCTATTGTTTTCTGTATTCATATCAGAGGAAACTGGCATGACTCTATGTTGGGAGTACCATGGACTGATTGGCATTGGCAATCTTTGCACACATGGTGGACACTCCCAAGCATCTCTATGTGTTGTTTATTTTCCCAGCCTATGAGTATTGTATGATAAAAAAGGATAGATTTAATAGCTAAACTTCATGTATTTGTAAATATACCTGT